GCAGCTCAGCTCGGGCTGGGAATCAACCTGGCGACCCTGTTGCTCAGAGCTTGCGCTCTTCAGCGAGCTCTTAACCACTGAGCCACTCAGCCGGCCCTTGTTGTTTCTTAATATCTCTAAATCTGGATAGGCTCAGGAAAATATACAACTATTTACCTTACTCTTCTCTCTCTGGGTACTTTCTGTGCCTCACCAGTGAATGAGGAACTTACTATAGAGTACAAATGTCTGCACTTGTTTTAAGTATTAGAGTACATGATCATAAATCTACATAGCTATAAGATATACAGACTGTTACTGAAAATAAGAATGAAGAACAGCCTGGTAACTATAATATTAGGCTTATTTTAGAATGAGATGTAAGCAGTCTCCTTAAAAAGATTCTTAAATTTATTCTTACAGAAAAACTATGTTTTCAGCTTGGAGCTAATCATTGTTCAATTTTAATTATGGTGCTTTACAAGACTAACATTTTCAAGAGTTATGGTACATCTCGATTATAGGTTAATATTCCTAATAGTAGTCTCTAATTTGATTTCGTTTCATGAATACTTTTTTTTTTTTGAGCCAGATGAACTCAAGCAATACCCAGTGGTAAAATATTGTAAGATTGTCATAAGATTCATATGGTTAGCCCCAGAATTCCAGGGATATTTGACTCTTGGCTTAGATCAGTTTTCAGAATTAAGCTACCTGCAAAGAGCAGACAGTTGATATTTCAGACACATCCTGACACTTAACCTTCCAAAGGCAGGTACGGAAAATTAAAATACGTTTCAAACTCATCAACATTGTTTGGATCCTGTCTGGAGTTGTGATTTTCCATTCCATGAACTGTGTCTACTGTTCTTAAAAGTCTGTGATTCTCATGAGCTCAGAGCAGTTCAGCAGTAGGAAAGAAATGCAGAACATGGCTCCATCCACTCAGTCTGCAAATCAGGTTTGACCCAGACTTCACTTTTCCCTGTGCAGTTTCACTTATCTGATTGGTTAACTTATTAGTTCACTAAGAAAATTCAGTCTTGTGAGCCATAGGGATCCAACAAGTTGTTATGTCCCTGATTCCAAATTTTCCTGGATTCGACAATGCAACTCAGTAAATCTTATTAGCCTGTTTGCGTGATATTTGCGTGACAATATACACAATAACAGCAAAACTTCTAAGTAGTTTTACTAAAAACATTAGCCTATAAATTGATGGTGGGTATAAGTGGGAACTGAGGACAAATCTAGATCTTTATCATTTCTAGCATCATGTCATATGGTGAACCTTACTCAGGAGGCTTACAGCAGGAACTCTTCTGAGGAACAGCACAGTGGGGGCAGGGCTTGCCCACCTTCACTTTGACCAGAATAAACTCTCAGAACTTTACTGTAGTTTATTGCAGGTGCCCTAATAGTGGTGAAGTGAACTCAGTGTTTTCAAATTTATAGTAAAACTCTCAACTTTCTTACCGAAAATGGTTGTTTTAATTAATTTTAACAAAGAACATTATTTGTTACAAGTCCCAAATAGGCCACACCAGGTTAGTTTGGCTGCATTGGGCAACAGACAGCATAATGGATAACTGTATTCAAGAAGGCCGCAACCCCAAAATGACACTGGCTTTTGTCCCTTGACGTCCTTGTGGCCCTAAAGGGAGTTCAGCAATTTCCCCCGGCTTCATAGGGACTTATAAGAACCCTTTGATCCTCTTACTTCATCATAGATTTCAGAGGCCAGGGCTTTCCTGAGTCTCTTTGGTCAGCAGAATGTATAGCTTAGCTCAAAATACTTTCATATGATCTTTTTTTCCTCCTCCAGCTACCAGGGACCAGAGCTGGGGATGGGGCAAGACTGGGGCTGGGCACTGCTGTGGTTTGAGTTTAGGGCTGCCTCCAGTTCCGAGAGTACTGGAAACAGGCATTGAAAGGGACACTTGAATATCAATAGTCAATTTCCTATGTGGAGCATAGTCTCAGGAACCATCATGACATTTACATAGTCTATTCTGTGAAATGTGAGGAGAAAGGAATTGCAAATTTTTAAAACCCAAGAGAGTTCAATTGAGAAGGTACGTGTAAGGTCTCAGAACCTTCAATTTGGTCTTGGTATATGGAAGAGGAAGAGCTATTAGTTGGAGTGCTTCTTTTAAGGAACATTCATTCATTAGAAAAAGGACTTTTTTCTTTTTTTGGGTGATCCTGGAAACTAGAAACTATTGATTTGTAGAGAATGTGAATGAGCAGGTGAGCTTAAGACCAGAATGCTGGATTCTGGGAACTATTGATTGCGGGAGTTCTGTACAGTGTTAAAATTAGGGTTTCATTGGCAATGGAAGTGTTTGGGGTGGTAATAGGTTCTGTGCTAATGACAAAACTCCAGGAATTCCAACTCTGTCTGATAAAAAGCTTGAAATTTGAAAGCCGTCAGGGCATATAAATCCATATATCTAAATCTAACCTATTTTTGTGTCCATAAAATCAATTTATAAAACAAACAAAAAAAGATACGAGATTATTTCTAAAAGTAAAGAATCTGTTTTTTTAAATTCTGTAATAGAGAGTATTTTAACTTACGATAATTTAGTTTTTGTGAATCTGAAAAGCATAATTTT